CGTCAAAGAAGAAGGAAGGCAGCTACCTGGGACGAAGATTTTGAAATCGCTGTGTTAGCCTACGTGCGAGCGTACCCCGAAATCAGCATCCGAAATGTCGTCGAAGATTTCGGAGGCAGCATCTTTTCGGTATGGAAAGTCCTGAGAAAGCACAAGCTCCATCCGTATCACATATCTTTGCATCAGGACCTCAGCGAGTGTGACTTCGAGAAGCGCTTGGAGTTTAGCAATTGGGCCCTTATTAAAACGGATGAAGACCCCGATTTTCTCACTAATGTGCTCTGGACTGACGAAGCACAGTTTTGCCGAAATGGCAACGTGAACGTTCACAACGCGCACTACTGGTCTGATTCCAACCCTCACTGGCTCCGCCAGCATAACCATCAGGTTCGGTGGTCAGTGAATGTGTGGTGCGGCATGTTTCGTGACAGAATAGTGGGACCATTTGTTTTCGAAGGCACACTGACAGCTCAGTCATACACAGCCAACATACTTGATGGTGCTGTCAGTGACTTCAACTGCGATCTCCCGTTAAGCGAGCTTAGGAGCACGTGGTTCCAGCATGACGGAGCGCCAGCTCACTTCTCGTCACGTGCGCGGAGCTACCTCAACGTCTGTTTTTCAGAGCAGTGGATTGGGCGCGGTGGACCTATGTTCTGGCCGCCAAGATCGCCTGACCTGACCCCGCTAGACTTTTTCCTTTGGGGTCACATCAAAAACGAAGTCTATTCAACTGAGCCCCAAGATGTCAACGACCTGAAGAACCGAATTGTCTCAGCATGCGCCAACATTGAACCACACGTCCTGAAGCGGGTGGTTCAATCTATGAAGAAACGATTCATGGCATGCGTAGCAGTGGAGGGTCGCCATTTCGAACATTACTTGTAGTAAGACATTACCTTAGGGTCTAAGCACACCAGAAACTTAAATTATCAGCAATTCTGATCTGTGAAGTTATTTCGCTGAAGATAATAAATAGCAAAGACTTCTTTCTTGTAGCGTTTCATTTTCTTTCGTTAAGTCGACTGGCAGAGCCAGCGTTCGTGCGCCTACGCTATTTGGCGAAGCGCCTTCCCCGCCGACAAACAATCGCGAGTGAAGCTCCGAGGGCAATGACGCATTAAAAGCGAGAGCGCTAAAGACCGCCCCCGCGAGTTTGCATACCTCGAGCCGCACCGTGACAGCCGCAGTGCAGATACGAGATCATGACAATTTGTACGTCACGAAACCGTCACTTCTACAAGCGTCATGTGATCAGCGCTTCCGGCACACTTGGAACATTCAGTTTCGGAATCGGATGATAGAAAGGGGAGAAACTGTCGACGGATATCTCCAAACCAGTTGCATTTTTTTTTAAATGTGTAAGTTGGTATAGCCTTCCAGGACGGCTGGCTTCAAAATTACAATTGCAACATGGTCCATAAAGTCAATAATTAAAAAGTTAATTAACAGATTTTAGTTAATGACTCACCAGACTGTGACGGTTGTTCGCCTCTCGAATGTCCGCCGAGCTCAAGAAACACAGTGAAGACGGCATTCACGTAGCAGTAAAGACGCCTTTTTTAAAAATCTGTTTCGAATAAAAAATAACACCCTGTATATTTATACTCCTCGTAAGTAGTAATGCAGGAACATTTGGTGCGTAAAAAAGACTGCAGGTTTAGCAGATACGCTTAAAATTTAAAATTAGGTCTCTTTTCTTCTACATTGAGCCAAATCCAGAAACGGAAGAAAAAGTAAATAAAAAAAAAATTGCAGGAAATATGGGTGTGAATCGTTTCCAAAAGGTATCAAGTAATCTTGGTCAGATAATGTGATAAAAACCACTGATAGCTTAACTGACAGACAGCCGCGGTACGGGGCTCAAAGCTAATCTGATAAGCGAACGCTTCCATTTCTCTGCCTTCACGTAGATATGTTTTAGAGCGCAGCTCTTAGGCGCCCGTTTCCGGCTTTAGCGGCGTCGGCGTCGCCGACGCCGGTGCCGTCGGCGTCGGCGTAACCGCGCGGTGCATTATGGGTAAATTTCTCCGCTAAATCTAGCGGAAAATTTTCCCCTAAATGGGAGGCGAGCAGGAAAGTAGGAGGGGCATAGCCTCCTCTCCGTACCTTCCTCTACTCCTCCTTAAGAGCTGCGCTCTAATTCGGCGTTACAGGGAGTTGTAAACGGCTTTCATATACTCTTTGTTTCTTCCAGTAAAGCTTTCTGTTTACTTTACTTTTTTTAGTAGAGCCCTTTTCCGCGGAGTTAGAAAAAGTCTTCGTCCCTTCGCAATAAAAATTGTGTTGCTTGTATGTTCAGACATGCTTGATGCTAGTACGCTTCGGCGGGTGACTTGTCTCTTAGCCACATACGAGGAATTTAGCCAGTGCAGTCTAACCACCAACCTCAGGTATTTAACGTCCACAACGCAGTAGTATTTACACGAACGCGTGGCGGTACAAAATCTCATCCTGATCGAAAGGAGCAGGGGGTGGGGATCGGACCCAGGAGGTTCTGCAGCGGAAGCTTTCCCTCGAAGCTCTGAGCTGAAAAGCGTTAACCCACTCGGCCACCGATCCCTTTTTTTTTCAGAATTATGTTTTTACAGTTTGAAAACACGATAGGTGGATGAATGCGAATGATGTATGTACACATGCTCAAATTGCAAAATATCTAGCAACATACAAGACATCCCGGAGAGACATGCCGGTGACAATTCATTTACAATCTAGATTTCTCAAAATATTGAAAGAAAACATATTATGCAATACACAGTGCAGCAATTGAATGAATATACAATGTTAAAGTATGGAGCGTGTGAATACTACATATAGTCTCCCCGAAGCATAAATATTAGGTGCAACTTTGTGACCCTTGACAAGGGCGTCTCTTGGTTCCTTTTCAAATGGTACCGATTCTGAAGTGGCATTAGTCCAATCCAATTTGGTCGTAAAATGACGCCATCCAGGTTTGGCATTCAATGTGTTCTCGGTCATATCTTCCCTTGATCGCCACAGTGTATGTAGACCTAAAACAATGATGATCTCTGCTACATCAGCTAGTGTCCTTTCATGTAATCGTGGGAATCTCAGAGTGCACCAGCTGATGTGTATATAAGTCCACTTTAACAAAAGTATGTACCTCTGCGCGAAATATTTCTGCGTTTGAGCAGAAAATAAAAACATGTGTGAGATTTTCTTCGCCGCACAAATCACATTCTAACGACCACGGTACAAAAAAAAAAAAAAGAAGCCTCTGGTAGATTGTACTTGAAAAGACGAGTGGGGCCACCGGAGTGGTATATTGGTACGTCCGCATGTGGAAAAAAAGGGCTAATTCAAGCCACCTCGCTCGTAGCGTCCGAGAGGGTGCTACGAGCGAAGGAGTTTGGATTAGTCGCTTTTTATGAAAAACGCGTTTCGTTCCTATGCCAAGCTCAACCGACACACTGGTCAAGGTCATAGAAACGAGAGAACGCCGGACTATACTTTTTATACAACCTAGACGTCAAGCGTCACGTACATAAAGTCACCGCGACCTGGTTTTTCGTCACAACGCCATGCGACATCAGGACGACGCCTTGACGTCAACGTCGTCATCGACGTTGACAACGGGCGTTGCACGACATCAAGGCTGCGTTCTGACGTCATATTGCGTTGACAACGACGACGATGTCAACGGTGACGTTGATGACGACGACGACAACGTCACGGGACGTCAAGATGACGGCGTCCTTGTCAATGCTACGACATAAGGACGCTTGGTGTCAGTTCGTTGACGTCGTTGTCGACATGACGCAACTCGACGTCACGAACACGTCCCGACAGCTTCACGTCGTCGTTGCCATCGTCGACGACGTTACACGACGTCAAGACTTCGTCGTGACTGCGCGTCGACGTTGATGCTGGCGAAGGCGACGACGTTACACGCCATCAAGGCTTCGTCGTGACGTTGACGTTCACGAGGACGACGTTAACGTGACGTCATAGCGATGTTTGATGTTGCGTGGGGCGTCGACGTCAACGTCGGCATCGACGACCACGTCCACGTCGTCCTCGATGTGGCGCGCGACGTCACGACAGCGTTACAACAGCGACTTGCAGTCGCGTAGCGGCGTCGTCCTCAACGGGACGCGATGTCACGACCGCGTCACGACGGCGACTTGATGTCGCGTAAAGGCGTCGTCCTCAACGCGACGTCACGACCGCGTTACAACGGCGACTTCATGTCGCCAGACGGCGTCGTCCTTGACGCGACGCGATGTCACGACGGCCTTACGACAGCGTCTTGGCGTCGCGTAACGTCGTCGACGATGACGTCGTGGTGTCGTTGTGTCGTGGTGCGTCGACGTTAGCTTTGGCGTCAAGGCACATTTGACGTCAAAGCAAGGGGCTATATTGCCATATGATCTTGACCTGTGCCGTTGCTCGATCGCAGCGAAGGTGGCGCTGCGATCGAAGTGGCTTGGTTCCACCTGATCGCTTTCCACATTTTGAAGTACAACTGAAAGCATGAGCGGAGCCTGTAGCTCGTCCCACTCGTTCCTTCTATACCCTGTTTCACCTTATGATGTAGCGCAGGAAAGGCTACAAGCGCGAGCTCCTTGCTCTGGGGCAGATCTCGGCGGCACAAGCTCTCGTGCATTAAGGGCAGCCGCCAACGCTATGAGCTCGCGCCTCTAGCCTTCACTGCGGTACAACGTAAGGTGAAACGGAGTATAGTACACTCTACCTTTGGTTCGTTGTTTGACCATTGAACCCCCTCCTTCCGCTCAGGCCCCCCACACTACACCGCATTCTAGTACACTATAGTTTCGTCGATGAAAATTCGTCGTCGTCGTTGTCATTTATGCCTCACACGAGGAGGATTCTCCTGGTTTTACGATGGCTCACGTGGCGAATTCTCACCTAGGAGAAAAAGAAGCCTTCCTTTCGTTAGTAACCATGTTGGATTTTATCTGTCAGGCAGAAATGCAGAGTCACGAGCCCCTTTTCAGCGGTGGAGGGACCGTCAAAGGCACTCTGTGTATGGCGGGGTGTGCTTTTGGTCTGGCTGCAGGAACCGTTTTTGTGGCGATGATTCTTCTCGTGACTGTCTTTCGGGACATTGGACAAATCAAGGTCAAGAGGCAGCTGAGGGCCCTCGACATCCATGTGAAAAGAGGTAGGCAAAATAATATATTATCTCAGGTATAGGTCGAGGCATAATTACGGTTTAGTGTTTTCAAAGTAAACCTTTCGTCGAATTTTTTTCTTCATTGTTGTTATTGTTTACGGTATTAGTATTTTACGCTACAAATTTTCGCTGTCCGCTAGAAATTAATGGTGTACAGACGCGTATGTTAAAAGAAAACAACAACAGCTTTACAACAGGTTTACAGGATTTCCCAACCTCAAGCGAACAGATATACGCACGACCCGAATACGGTGAAGACAACGTTCCTTTACTGGCAAGAGAAGGGAACGAGATAAGGTGCGTGTTTCCTGGAGAAAGAAGCAGCCTCGTAGACAGTTTAGCGTGGGCTGTGCTTTGGTGAACACAAACTAACGCTCCAAATAAAAATCTTCCCGTGAAGTTTTTTTTTTTAAATTTATTTATTTAAGGACAGTTTTAAAAGGATACTACAACGAAATTTCGGCGCTTATTTCTAGGTCTATTCCTGTTCAAGGGAGCACTATCACATCAGGCATACCAATCTCTTAGTAAGAAAGACACGAAGAGGAAGCTTAAAACGAATTAAACGTTTAGCAAAGACTACCTGGTGGATGTCGCTAAAGTCTCGTTTGGAATGCCCGTCTAGGAACCTTGACAGGTAGTGACAATGCCTGTCTGGCCTTCGGCCACCACGAGAGAAGAGGGGAAGGAGAAACCTCGCGTCTACCGGAACTCTCTTTTGTGCGTCCCAGACGTCGCTATTGCTTCTGGACAAGATTATAGAAGATTAACCTGTCACTTAAAATTCGTACAAAAGCAGCTTTGGGGTTAGTTGCAGTGGCCCGTTCTTGTGCTTCGGTCGCGTTGGTGTCTGAACGGCTAGGACATTTTTTTGATGGCTCAGCTTTGCTCGTCCCGAGACAATCCACGTCACGATTGCGGCGGATGTCACGTGCTCTCCGCTGGCTGCTTTTCGAGCGCTTGCCAAAGTGGGCCGTTTATAACGAAAAATACAGCTGTCTGGCTCGAAATACAAACATGCGATTCTCATTTATGAATATTGTGGATCATATTCAGCCTATTTTGGAACATGACGAATATATTTCAAATTTTGTTGAAGTATCCCTTTAATTCGGGGTTTTTGGTTTTTCCCGATTTTGTCACACCGGCTCGGGGGTAAGTTTTCAGGGTTTATTTGTATTCGCCGAAAGCACTGAAACCTATAGACACAACCGAGCTAAACCAAATGAGGTCGGTAATTTGGAATGGTCTACACTGAGCTCTCGAAAAGTGGCCTTTTCCAAGTGAAGTGTTTTACTGATGGTTAGCCGGCCTAGGGATCTCCAGTTGACGGGTTGGAATCCCTGCCGATGTGTCCGAAATCTGACGTGCAACCGAGATCGCGAGATTTTGGTTGCACGCTAAAAGATTCCTATGGCCGAGTTGTTCATCAATGCGAATATCTCTCCCGGCAGCTAAACTAGCCGCAACAGGAATTTTCTGGTCACGCGGCCGTTCCAAAGGGCAGGAAGTTGCTAGTGTTCCAGCCGAGTCCGCTCAAAAAACGTGAGCCTTGCCTTTCGATTTTCTAAAATTTTCGCTTATCCCAACCTTTCCCGGACATAGCTTTACACGCTCCTCCTAAGGTGCAATAATGCGTTTTTTGTACACTTGTATTGCAAGTTTTTTATACTTTTTCCGCGTGCGAAATCAAGGTTTAATATTCGACGCGAAGACGAAATTATGACAGGGGCGATGTGCTGGTGAAAGTTGGTGTCCCTCCCGGCAGGGTCGGATTTATGTGTAAGGCTTGCGAGGAGGGGGTCTGCATAGAGATGTGACGTCACCAGCGGAGTGGACGTCATGCGAGAAGCGTTACCGGGTATCATTTATTGATCTAAAAAACTAAACATGTCTTTGTAAAGTAGTTAAATGTTGCTTCCATAAAAAAAAAGCTTTTTGGGCACTTATGGGCCCTGCAATCAATATTTAAGCGTCTACCTTTTTTTTTTTGTGGTTTCCACATCTCTTGGGGTTCGGGCAAGCCAGCGGGCACGGAGAGAGTAACTAAATATCAGTGCGTCATCTTTTAACCGGACACCGCGGAAACCTCCCCCGCCTACGGGGGCGACCCGCGGTACCAAAAGCGCGCGACATGTGAAGCCTTTGGTCCTGGGCTTACTACTGGCCAGAGTCGCTAAAAGCTTCTTTTTAGTTGAAGTACAAAATATAAGTGGCGCGAACCGTTTCAATTATTTATGAAAGTAGTTTTTGTTGAGTATTTTAGATCAGAAAAGAAACAAATGGAGTTTATAAAGTCCAGAAAACAGAAATGGCTCGTTGACATTCCCGCAACCAAGCGGTGGAAAAGGCGACGCTACGTAGAGGGGGGTAGTGGAATCAGGCACCGATGAGCGGCGAGCGTAGAAATGTCCCGGATGTACGCGGCGGTCCGACCGGTTTCGAGCGTTCCGAAGGCCTTCGGCGAGCAGCTTTGGCTTGCGGTTTGGACGCTTGGTGGTATGGCAGCGCGAAGTGGCTCCCGTTCTGAACTGAGCTGATCTTTACCCCGTGTTTGCTGTTGTTTGGGGCCAATGAATTGTCATGCCGGATTATTGTTTAATCGCGCAGCAAATGCAATGCGAGCCGCCCTGGCTGCCCGCTCCATACAGCCTATCCGCATCATGCTTTAGTGGCGCCCTCTCGAGCCGTCGACACGGAGTGCGGCAGCCGTCAGCGCTCGCTTAGTTCACTACCCCTCCTCTAGTTTGCGGCCACTCAAGCGACCAATAACGCCATGAATGAGGTTTATGTTTTTGCTTGTTTTTGTAATTTTAATTTTCCTAAAACTTTGAAAATAAAGCGACATATGAGAAACGAAAAGTTTCATAAGTTACTACATTCAGTGTGCTCAGGTTCGATGCAAATAAAAATTTGTGAAAAAGACTTTGCAGAGCCCCTTTAAGGACGGCGGTGGCCTCCCCCCCTTTTAAATACGCTCTTGTCTAGCGGCGAATAAAATAGTCGTAATAGGGAATTTCTGGTCGCATGACCGGCTTTATTGGAACTAGATTTACACATAAAAAAACATTGGGTCAACTCTTTTCTGCTAGCTCAGCACTGCTGCGATAACACGTGGTTTCTTCTTGCGTTTCAATGGCACGCGCTCTCGAGCGAAGGAAACGTCAAACGAAGCGACTTGCTCGTGCAAGTTGCTTTGACAGTGTTAGAGCACTGTGGAAGCCGCGCGTGCCTTGACTGTGCAGCGCAAAATAGTTGACGCGATTACAGGCAAATAGCCGCCATAAGTCCATCGTCACTTTTGTTATAAAAGCCCGTTCCTCTCACACAGGAAAGGAAAACCAAGAGGCTTGAAATGCTTCTAAAGTAGACCGCTTTTGTGTAGTTTAGAAGTGACAAGTAAAGTTATTTTTGGGAAAGGTCGTGTTACGCGGAAATTAAAGGAAACGTCAGGCAAGGCTTACTTCAGCTGAGCAGAATCGGCTGAATCGGCTCTGAAGGCAGGCATACTTCCTGTCCTCTGACGTGGTAATGTGACGAAAAAATATTTCTTGCGGCTAAATTTTAGTCGCCGGTAGATCAGCAAACCACCCCGGCAAGTCAAAATAAAATTCCCAGTCTTTCGTTGGGACGTACCCAATGCCATTGGTTGGCTTGACACGTCAAAACCCCAAATTCACCCCCCCCCCCCCACACACACACACTCACCACACAGACGCACACTCACACGCGCTCGCATCCACCCACCCACCCAGACACGCACACGCAAAAAACATGCACTCGCACACACAGATGCACGCACACGCATGCCCTCGCACGGTTTTCTTTTGTACCGAAGTGAGAAATCTAGTTAAGGTTTCGTTACAAAGTCATGCTTTCACTGAGAAATACAAAATGCCACACCGAAAACGAAAAAGCCAGCCCGGGCTCATGACGTCGAAGACTATGGAAGTCACGTGCGTTCTTCGCCCTCTCCGGAACTACGCTTTCGAGTTTCCTCTAAGTCCACGTATTCTTTTATGTATATGATCGTATCAGAGCGTAGCTCTTAGGCGTCCGTTTCCGGCTTGAGCGGCATCGCCGTCGCCGTCGCCGTCGGCGTAACCGCGCGTTGCATTATCGGAGGTTTCCCATATTGACGTCGCACGTGACGTCATGTGTGACGTCACGAGGGTCACTAGGGTCACGAGTGACGTCATGATTGTCGTCACGAAGGTCACGACATTCACGAGTAACTCACGAGGGTCACTGGGGTCACGAGTGACGTCACGAGGGAGGAGGGAGGGAGGTGTAGGAGGAGGGGCATACCCTCCCTCCGTACCCTCCCCTCCTTCTCCTCAAGAGTTGCGCTCTAATTCGGCACTACAGGGAATTGTAAACGTCAACATTTCTTTTAGCATTAGATATGGCAATCATACGGCTTAATATACGCGGAAATATTTTGGTCCGGTGGTCATTGCTCGACATCCGCAAGCACGATAGCCATGAGGAGCCACATCTCAACTCTCGATTTTCGTGCGGCAAAATTTTGATTTTGGCCCATATTTATTCTTTCTTCGAGCTTTTTAAGGTCGCCTTTTCTCAACGCAAACTCGGCATACATAAATACTTTGCCAAAAAACTTTTAAACCATGTGGTTACTTGCCGAGCTCATCAATAATTTTTATATGCCGTATTTTCAGGCTCGTTTCAACTATGCGCGGGTAACAGTTGCGGGAAAGTACCGCAGGATTTTCGCAGTCGGGTTTTATACGAAAACCTACCCCTCTAGCTGAACGTACTGGCAGAATTCGACCAAAAGTGTTGCTCCAGTAAAAAAATTAAATAAATAAACAATAACCCTTCTTTTGTGTCGCTAATGTTTATAGCACGTCTGCAATAAAATGTATACCCCGCCGAAAACAAATGCAGAGAAATGTTCGTACTTTTAGAGTGCGCGGTTTCGTTTTTTTATTTTTATTTCTTGCTTGTGAGGTTTTTTTTTTATATTTTTCCGCGCTGATTCATTGCAATTTTTGGTGTTGGGCAAAAAGGAGTTCATTGGGGCTTCGGCTGAAGAAAACAGTGCACGGGAATAAAGTTGTCTAACTTCCTGTGAATAAGCACGTGACCAAAATACAACAGAAGCGTTCCGGTGCCAATAAGAGATGGAAACGAGATAAGGAGTAACTAAATAAAACTGTTAAAAAAAATAACTTTTTCATGTGTATTTTTTTTTTTTATTACTCAAGGAGAGTTTTTATTTCGGTTTAACTTTCTCTTGGGGTTAATGTTTTTCACAGAAACATTCTGGGGTATAGTTTTCGGGGTTTACCGGTATTTAACGAATACGTGGAACCCCATCAAAATAAACATACATGTGTCTTGAAGGGCGCATGTTATAGGCCAGCGTCTGTTGTACTTATTCCGCATCACCAAAGGTTTAATTTTGTTGAGCTAATAAAGAGACAAAGATATAAGATTGACTAAAGCGCGAGGCATGCTTGCTGGTAATACACAGAACAATGGAGTACATTAGAATGTTTTGGTACTGGAATTTCACTTTTTTTTTTCTTCTCAATCTGCGACAAAAGTACACTATAATGAAGTCAAGTTTTTTTTTTCTTGCAGATGATCCGCCAATAACTACTGAGCGGCGAAACCGATCTACGCAGGAATCTAACAATGCATCGAAACCAGAAAAATCATTGAATCTTGAAAATCCATTGCGATATTTATCCACCATAGCATATAATTCAAAGAACCGCTTAATAACACCAACGAGGTATGAGCTTTCTCCCGCCATACTAATGCCGTCATCATCAGATCGGACACAGATTTCTTCAATCGGTGCTAACAGAGCGAGCGTATCAAGGCGAATTATACTGCTGTTTCCAGCTTCCTCCGTAACCATGGCTGCTAGCGCAAGCTCTCTAATAGAAACAAAAGAGAACTCGGTGACCAAAGGTAGCAAGGACTCTGGCTGCACAATAAAGAAAATTGATCAAGCAGAACGAAAAGGAGCAGAATCTCTTGAAGAAACAGCACAAATGACCGCAGCTTCTAAGGGCAAAAAAGTTACAAGGCGAATTCACGTCCACGATGATCGAACGTGGAGTTCTACTCAGACACTTCAGTTTACAGAACCATTCGGCGGCAATAATGACGACGAAAAAGCTGAATCATTTCCCTCAAACAATCGACACGATGGCCGGCGTAAAACGGGCGTGTATGAGATGACGGAGCCATTCCAAAACAGAGAAATTAATAATGGTCAAGATGGCAAGGTGAACATAGACATTCCCATCATGCATCACCCGGGAGTCACTAATGACGCGGTAACCCGGCACCAACATGTCAGAAAGTCTCAAATCGCCGTCCCTGTCCAGAGGAAGATTAGCCAGCAGATTCAGAACGGTCTGTTCAAAATTCTCCCCGTGGCCACTACGACGAGCGAGTTCATCGATGCTCAAGAAACGGAGTTCTTTGTTGATTATTCGTACGATGAAATAGACGCGCGACATATCAACCCATACAAAAAAATAAAAGAGAACACTCCATACTCGAGAAATAAAAGACCTGAAACGAAACGTGCGAAAGGCGAAGACTTCCCCTACCAGCGACATTTTATGATGCATGGAAACAGCGCAGTAGTGGACAAGTCGATGATGGCTCATACTGAAAGGCGGAACCGTGCTTTTAAGGAATTATTTTTGGCGTATTCGATGCCCTCAGCATCTAATACTTCAATTAAGGTGTTCAAGGTACCCCGACAAAGATTTACGAAGACGGTCACAAATTCAGTAGTCTCAAGCATGCCAGAGGCGAAGAGGACAATGTCTACTGACATTGAATATCTGGCAGACGGACACAGCGGTCCATAGCCAAGCTAAGCCTTCTGAGACAACAACGGAAGCTTTCGTTTCTGTGGGACTTTATCCGATTGTCGATTCTCTTTATTTTAATACACAATAGCTTGCGGCGCGTGACCTTTAGTGCTGCCGTCAATTATTTATCACTTGAAATAGTGATTAAAATAATAACTCTCCAACCCTTCATTCGACGACCTGTTATTTCAATTATTGTTGCTTGTTTTGTTCATACTAGAAAATAAGCAGGTCCTGAAATTCGATGCTTCATTGTGATATCTATTATGTCTACTAAATGAACGCGTAAAAAATTATATTATTTTTTATATATACTGCACATAACACATACTAGGCGTTATTACTATACTGGTATGTGTTAGAGACGCTTTTCTCTCTCAAATGCAATACAGATACGATAAAAAAAGTATTAAAAGTTGAAATAGTGGAGAATTAAACAATGCTAGTGACCCTCACATTCGGAGTAAAAAAACAATTTTGCAAAACAATAAGTTCCGTCCCAATTTTCAGCAGATCCACCATCGAGGAAAAAGAGTTAGGATTGCACAAATAATTATACTTGCAACAATTCAATGCTGTAAAAATGTTTCAGAGAACTTGTTTTTCGGTTGATATTTATTTCTTTATAGGTACAGATGGTATTTTTAAGTAAATATCAGCAAGCAATTTCGGAACTTCCTGGACTCAAGAGTACTTACGGTTGGCCCGCATTTTATGCGCGTCTCATTGAGCGAAAATGAGCAGCGGGTCTTTGCAAGTTATTTTGCGGAAAATGAGGAAAGGTATGCCAGAAAGATGACGCACTATGAATCGTTGAGTCTATACTTAAATTATACTGGGCCAAAAATAAATACGCCTGGCCATTTACTCGGGAGACATTCGACGAAGTTGGACGCAAATCATTTGAGACCGTCCTAATTATTTCGTGAACGTGAAAGCGAGTGCGTGCGTCGCTTCGCCAACTGCGGCTCGTCGCAGTGAGTGTTCAAGCTGGCCGAAGCGAAACTACGTTACGCTTACAGGACGTGGTTCAAAAAAAGGCGGGAAGGGCCGTGCCCCTCGTGCTCGTGCCCATGGAAAAGCAAGCGCTGTGTTTTTGACGAGTGGAAATATCCCTTAGGGGGTAAACGTCGACCTACTCCGGCTATTCCGGGAACGATGTTCACTGGAAGACATTTCAGACGCAGACGTGAAAAGGCTGTTTTATGTTGTAGAACCCTTGTAACAAGGTGAAAGAACAAGATTTGTGTTCAACTTGCTGCCGATCACGCGAGTCTCATGGAACATGCCATGCAGACACGTTGTGCACGAAGACGCGGGCGAATAATAAAATTGAAAGGAGGGTACAAATAGTTTCAGGCAATGTTGCATGTCTTGCCTCAAAACAAAGAAAATAAATAAGTCGGTAGCTGTTTAGACAGCACGAATGTAGTCTGCCAGAGTGGGGCGACACTGTTACCTACTGTAGATGAGAAATATAGCTAGTGGAGTACGACCGCTTGCATGGGGTGTTTAACGTGCATCATGCAGCAATGATACGGGACGGCACGCCTGTACGATGCTCATCCACATTGAAACAGGCGAGGGTGGGGATTGAACCCAGGATTCCTGCGATCTGCAGTGCGAGCTTTCGCTCCAGGTGCTCCAAGTTGCGGTGCGTTAACACACTCGGTCACCAATCTCCTGTCTTGCATAAAAAAGAAAGTAGTCGTAGGATTTGTTAGTTGCTTGTATGTGATGGTGGATCGTTGTGGCCTGCTTGTAAAAGAGGCCGTCGGAAGTATGCTTACTTCGGCGCCGGTATACACAAGAAAACGAAAAACCAGAGTTATTGTCCAAAAACTTAGAGGACGCTTAACCTTCGACCTTAAGATTGGAACGCGATAACGTTATCGGGCCCCGTTCGCAGATCCTTCTCATGTAAACCCGCGCTCGTGCCCAAGCCCTGCAAGCGTGTGTGCGTGGCCTAGTTGGTAGCGTGACGCCATGTGATGACACTTGACGTCACATTTTACGTGACGTCACATGTGAGCGTTCTGGGTTATTTGAAATTCCCGCGCGAGGTCATGTGGCTTGACGTTACACGCCTGACGTCACACGTGGCTGTGACGTATCGACCCACTAAATGTTTCCGCTAAATTTGGCGGGACAATTTTGCCGCCATATTTAGAAGAAAAAGTTCCAACCAAGTTTAGCGGGTCGATAGGGACAGGACGTCACAGCCTCGTGTGACGCCACGCGTGTGAGTTCCTTGGAAGTGTTGCGTGCCTACCCGAAGGCGACGGTGGTATCCCACCAGGATCAAGAGTATGCACAGAAAAGTGAAGTGTGCATCGGTTCTCGGTGGCCCCTAACATCAATGAAGTGTTCGTCGCAACATGCGGAATTTCCATAAAAAGGAAATTATGAATGACCCGCGAACTGAAGCCATCTTCCGGTATGTGGATGACTTCTTAATCCTTTGTAAGACAAAGACAGAAGATCTAAGCAACGGGTGGCACAACTATGTTATGAGGGACTTTGAAAAGAGCTTCTTGCGTCTTAAGTTTACCCATGAAATGCCTGTAAATCAATCAATTAGGCTCCTTGATCTCGTCTTAAAATTGAAAAGGGAGCGCACATATTGGCGAAATCATGCTGGGTCCTGCAAATGTTTTCTACCTTATGACCGTGAGCATTGAAATAATGTAGAGCGTGAAGTTGCCACCTCGTCACTAACATCCGCTCTAAAAGAATCGTGCGAACACCAGAGTGAAAAGAGCTTTGACATGCAAATCGCTAGAATACTTGACGCTGGATATCCTAACACATTACTGTTGCCGGTATAGGAAATTGTCTCCAAGAATGTGAAACGCGGGTCAACAGGGTTTGACCAGTCACCAAAGAAGACCGGAAAATCTATAGTAGTAGTGCCATATTTTCATGGATTTACTCACAGGTTAAAAAAGATCGCGGGCCGCCAAGCCGTTTTAGTTGTATTCTCTGCGCCGAACGAGGCCAATTACATGTGCGGCAGGGTAAACAAAGACCAAAGGACCTACAGACAAAAAACTGACAAACCAAAGGAAAAACAGAAAAATATCACAGCACAGAAAGCAAAGTGTGCTGACTACCAAAAAGAGGCTATCTATAACATATCCTTGGCATGTGGTAAATGCCATATTGGCCAAAGCGGCCGATATGTCAACGACCGCACACGAGAGCATACTACATCCTTAAGGAATCTAACATCAACTGGGCACCTTGCAGCTCATTGTCGTGAATCCCTATGTGAGGCAAGATTGCTCGACATCGCCATTGTGGGCGGCGCCATTCATTGTTGTGGAAATGCTCGAGACACGCGCGGCGCGCCACTCTGGGAAGAACACGGCGTCTGTAATCTAGCTCAGTGCTGCTCTTTGCCGCCATGATCTTCCTAGTGCCACTAAATAAGCTACGCTTCAGAGTAACGACACTCGCCCATATTGTGGCTTAAAACCATGGTGGCCAGTTATCAGAAGCTTTATCTGAAATCACGGCAAACGCTTTTCCGACCTGCACAAATGTTTAAACAGTTCGCGGCAGAGAAAAAAATAAAAGGTTACATGAGCTTCATAACACCAAATCTAATGCCGAGGAAGTTGCACTTTTGAATCATGACGATTGGCAGTTGCGTCTGCTCTGCACAAGCACCAAAATGGCGGCACCCACAACAATATCGGGGAACAGAGTGCCTAGTGCCACTAAATAAGCTACGCTTCAGAGTAACGACACTTGGCCATATTGTGGCTTAAAATCATGGTTGCCAGTTATCTGAAGCTTTATCTGAAATCACAGGAAATGCTTTTCCGCCCTCCACAAATGTTTAAACCGTTCGCGACAGAGCAAAGCAATATTACATTACCTTCCTAACACCGAATCTAATGCTGAGGAAGTCGCACTTTTGAATCATGACGATCGGCTGTTACGTCTGTTCTGCATACGAGCCAAAATGGCGGCGCCCACAAGAATGTCGGGGAACGGAGTGCCGATACTCTAAGCGCAGCTTATTTAGTGGCTCTAAGAGTGCCAATACTCGCAGCTCATTTAGTGGCTCCAGATCTCCCCAAGCGCTGCACGTTGCACGTGTATCGACGCACCTTGCGCTACTTTGGAAACACGAAGGGGCTTTAGGCGCTTTTAGAGTGCCTTCATACACACGCGGGTTTTTGCTTGAGTGGTGACATATCAGCCATTTTCCCGCCCATTCGTTTCTTTATGCATTTTGAAGTGCGCGCAATCTGGTGTCACTCAGCTGGAGCGCGTAGCTTTGGCTAATGCATAGACGCCATTTTACCGTCCAAGTCACGCACCGAGTGTGCGAGAGCGTCACGCGCTTTCACACTCAGGGCAAAAATGGATGTCTTCACCCTCAGACAAACAGACATGTAGGCACCCTAGGCGCTTTCAGAGTCGTGTTTTGGGAGAGTTTGGCCAATAGGCGAAGCAAAGCCCGCCGCCAGCACCGGATATTCCCCCCCGCGCTTAGAGCTAAACTAAATTTGTGACACAGCGTCGACCAATCAGCAGACCGCGACGTCACAATATTGCGAACGACATTTAAAGCGTGAAATAGAAGCGTTCAATCTCGGCTTCTCTACTCCATCTCACAAACGTCTGCAGTGAAGACAAAGGCACAGGCGCGTGAGCCTAGCTCAGCTAAATGCTTTTGTTTGTACGAGAACTCGTGCATAGGAGGCACTTTCTAAAGCCACGCGCTCGTGCCCATGCCTTTGTCTGCACTGCTGATGTTTGTGCAGATGTTTGTGCAGACAGTTCGCTCTGGGCCGGCCTGGCGAGAATAGGCTAGAACAGCGTCCTGAGACTGGCTGAAAGAAAACAGTGCAAAGGGTGGGGCGCGCGAGCGTCTTGAGACGCGGAGCTTGCGCGGCGTCCCGCTCGGCTCGTGCGCTGGCTTTGGCATAGCTTTCTTCCCCGTCTCAGCTTAGACGCTGTTTCTAGCAAGTCGGCCCTTGTTTGGAGCGCACGTTCGTTTTATTTTTGTGAGCTGTCATCCAGTTCAGATGTCTTTTCTTCGCTCTCAGCACTCGTAACAATTGGCGAC